ACGGCAAAGATGCGAGATACGCCGTACCCTAAGGCCACTAGCACCCGGAGCCAAAGGAGCCACAACTGCAACGTTAGTCATACCTGCAACCACTTGAGCCTATTCAATCAAGCGCTAAACCCTACCGTCGCTCTCCAGAGCCCAAAGTGCATGGTCTAACGGACACACACCTTGCCCACGAAATGCACGAGCCATCAACGGGGCAAGACAGAGCGCCATACCAACGTTGGTGAGGCCTCGCAAGGCGAAGAGGACCGGGAAAGCTGCTTCTAGGCACGAGCCGTCGGGAGTAGTAAACGCCAGATTGCCCCAAAGTGGCGCTACATAGCACCAGGGCCCAGCAACCGCCTCCGGGTCGGAAAGAACAAGCCTGTCAGGGCTGGATGCCGTCTAGGGTGGATTTGCCGTCAGTTCGGTAACGGTTAGGATTCGTTAGGGCTTCGCCGGATCTCTAGCTAACGTTATGACGTGGTTATGTTGCGGTTAGCAGCTATAATATTGGTTATCTGGTTGGATGTATCTGAGTGAACGCAGTCAATTGGTATCTTGGCGTGTATCTGGTAACATCGGGGTGTCATATGGGCCCTGTGCTTACGGTTCCCGCTGTGGCGTAGGCTTTAGTCTAATGGGAAGTAGGATATATGGTTTTGGTTGCGGGCATTGGCAGATTTGAGTTAGCGGTTTTGCTTGGTCGCCGATGCGAGTAGATGCTTTCGGCGAAAGATACTGTTGGTAGGAGGTTGGATTACGGGATGATTGAGAGGAGCGATATGCGGCAACACATTGCAATGTTGTTTTGTTGTGGGCATTTAGCATGAAGTGTCGCTAGCCGCCGTCGCTGTGAGCACCGGTATTCCCCGAGGCGGTGGCGGAGGCAGCGGAGGGGCCGTAACAGCACGTAGAGCACTGGGTTGGGGGCGGCGGGTGCTTCGGATTGTACTGCGTGAAAGGACGGGGACCAGTCGGGGGCCAGCCACAACACAGTGCTGGCAGGCGGCGAGCAGTGCACCCGCTCTGCACCCGCTATGGCAGCTAAATCCCTGGGCGCCGCTATTGGATGCGACTCGAGCGAGTGACCCAAGTGCTGCAGGGGTAGCCCCACAAAGCCCCGTTCTCGTAACATGGAACCGGTCGATTACCTGGATTATGGTGACCTGGTCCCCGCCCTCACATGCACGGGTTACATTTGTCTCTCTAACTACGGTGTAACGCGGACAAGTTCCATGGACGTTCATGCAGAGATGGAGTACTGTGCCGTAGTTAGTCCACAATGCTCGACACCGTACGACACACTTAGTATTGCCGGACATTGCCAAGCTAGGTCTACTTCAATCTCAGGTCTTGGGAAGGACCTATTACTGGAGGGCAAATTCTCACAGCTGGACGAGCGCTACTTTGGGCTCACGTACAAGGCGAGAGGCATGCCGAAAGGAGATACTGTATCGTCCAGCATGTATGCTTGTAATGCGACGACCCTAAACGCGTCCAGGATTCGGTCGTTAGAACCGATTATGCAATCGCGTAATCGACCCCACCACCGTGCTTTGCCCTAAAAACTACTGGTATCAATGCAAATCCGCCTGTACTCGAAAAAGCCTGGGCAAAGCACTCACATGGCACCACCGGACTTGCAAGACACCAAGTCCACTGACTTTCACACCAGTTTGTGCTATTCTGGCTATTGATTAATGTTTGTTTGCAGTAGGAAGGCTCTGGCTTGCGTTACATAGCCGAACTGTGAAGGACATGCTAACTGGAAGCTTAGTCTGCATACTAAAGGCTTTTGCGCCGCTTTAAGCTTAAATCTAGAGCCCATATGAAGAATAAAGCAGTCAACTTAAGTTGCCGATTGTGGGTGAATGGGAGATGGACTCGTGCAAGCAGGGCTTGTAGGCCTTGCATTTTTCCGAATCCCAGACACATGAGGCCCCCCAGGAGCAGTATCTTGGCGCGCCATGCTATATGAAGTAAGATGGTAGGATGCAAGCCATCTCCTTGGCGAACTTGTGTGTCGCAACCAAGACCATGACGAAGTCCCCTCATCGTCGCGCTGGCGGGCACAAGTGCAACAGCCCTAAGAAGGGCTGGAAGAGTAAGGTGATCGAGAAGTTCAGGGCGCAAAAGCGTCGTTCGGTGTCTCCTCGTTCCAGCCGGAGAAGCCCGTGACCCCAGCCAGTCCGGCTGCTGCCCCTGCTGCGCCGGGTGCGCCAGCTGCACCGGCTGCACCGGCTTCTCCGATGAACTTGGTTTCTCCGGATGTTTGCAACCTTCTCTCCTCACCGGAGAACAACTTCACGCCTAATAAGTACACCGGCTGTCCGGTCCTGATCATGATCAAGCTAAACCCCCACCCACCGGCACCTACCGTGAGCAGACATGATCCACCGTGATCAGGGCCCGTAGCTTCATACGAAGCATAGATATACCATTTGGAGCAATGCAACAGCCTATAGGACAGGTAAAAAGGCACTTAAAGCTCATCACGTTTTGCTCATGACAAATACCGGTTTTCCGGTGTTGCTCGTGATCAGCGTGATCAGCCCCTCACGGGGCCTCGCACCGCTGTTAACCAGTGCCCGGGCAGTGTGTTCTTGCGTGTAGAGGCATGCTACAGCCCCCCCCGCGTGCCTTTGGGGAAGGTGTTTCCCGGGAATGGGCCTGATCATGGCCTGTACCGGTTAACCGGTTGCCAGCGTGATCAGTGTTGCGGTGCCCTCACGGGACCACACATGCACGTTAACCAGTGCCGGGGCAGCGTGTGCTTGCGTGTAGAGTCATGCTAGTCCCATGCAACACCGCAGTACACATAGCCGTTCCTGACCTATCCCTTTACAAGCCCCCGCTCAGTCCCGTTTAAGCCTAGCCGTCGTACACTGGCCTTGATGTGGGGCAAGGCCGCGTGCTGTTATCCGCAAGCCATGTCACCAGCAATTTGCCCTCGGGCAGTACCTTCATTTGGTTACCCCAATCCTTTGCAATCCGCAACGCTCAAACCTCCTGCCTTGCAGAAGTAATACGGTGTGCGGCTTCCTTCCTTGTGCAGATTACGTGACCCTCCCCCCCTGCCATTTCTCAAGGTCGAAGTCAGCAACCAAGGCCAACTAAGAGGCATAGAAGTAAACATACTGCCAGAACTGGACCTAACGAGTCGCGTTGGCGATGGAAAGCGACAGCCATTTTTAGATCCTAATTAACACCATAGGTAAGACTCGTAAAGGGGTCCCTATAACATGTATCATCGGCAAAAGTCAGTGGACTTGGTGTCTTGCAAGTCCGGTGGTGCCATGTGAGTGCTTTGCCCAGGCTTTTTGTGCGCTCTCGAGTATGGGCGGATTTGAATTGATACCAGTAGTTTTTAGGGCAAAGCACGGTGGTGGGTTCGATTACGCGATTGCGTAATCGGTTCTAACGACCAAATCCTGGACGCGTTTAGGGTCGGCGACGACCCTAAATGGTACCAGGATCCAAAGTCGGACGAGCTCGTAGCGAGGACGTTATCAACACAAAGTAGCGCATCTTGTCAAAGATTTAACACCACTAAATAGGGGATATTACAGTCTAATAGACAAACGTTGAGCGCCTGTCTATTGCAATGCTTTGCTCAGCAGCCCTAGGGGCTGCTCCTTGACGCATTCCTAACAAATTTAGGTAGCTCAGTAGAGAACGAGGAACACTACTAAGATAAGCCGTCGGCCAGGATACCCATGTCTGCGGCCTAGCCTGAGAAACGCTCGTCGTGGCCAGCGTGGTGCATGGTTGTCTACTAGGTTACTGTTGTCTTGTACCGGAAGGGCAAATTATGGAGCATTGCCAGCTATCGTGTCATCTCTAACTTTGGCAAAGGAACATTAGCGGAGCGGTCAGGGATGGATATCCACCGGGCGAAGGGGAGGCTAAGGCACGTGGTGATGCTCGGTCAGGCGTCTGCGTCTATGGCTGTCTCCTCAAGGAAACGGAGGAGATGCAGGCGGTAGTCAACGCGTTCATACACACGCCCTAACGTCATCCCAACCCGTGTAGCCATCCATCCCGTCTCGTGAACCCCCCTACCTTCACACCCCGCACCTTCCTACGCTCCCCCCTTGTGTTGCCATCACCCACACGCTCTATGGCCAAACGACCACAGCCTAACCGAGCACAGCCCAATCCCCCCTAACCTATGGTTTTGGTATACCGGTATCTTGCGTTTTCATACCCCACCCCACCGGTTGGTTGGATCCCCTTGACCCCTTCCTTCGCACCCCATTTCTTACCACGTCCCCCACGTGCATTGCCGTCACTTCAACGCTGCCCTACGCTCCCAACCGCTGTATGCTGTACCCTCTCCTTCCCTCCGCATGCTGCCCCAACGTCACCTCATCCCACGTAGCTCTCCACGACTCCATCCCTTCCCCAACCCCTCCCGCCGCAGCCCAATCATGGCTGCTGTATGTGTTGCCGCCAATAGACGCCCCCCCGGTACTCCATGCGTCGCCCCTCCCGCACTGAGGAGGGGCGACGTATGGGGCAACGGGGAAAGGTGTGGGGTAAGGAGGCAGGGGGCTAAGGGACGCGATGAAGGGCCATGCGGGTTGAGACGGCTGTAAGGACATGTGGCCAGGGAGTAGCGTAAAAGGATACCACTACCAGAAGCAAAGCTTCAGCTTCGAGCCAACTCTCAGGATTTGCGCTGCACTGGGTATCCTGGTCACGAAGGAATTCAAGAACATTTTCCTGTTGTGTACTTTATTAATTATAAAGCATTGGATTTCAACAGGATGTAGCCCGTAGGGCACCTTAGCTGACCGTCGCAATAGACAGGTGCCCAACGCTTTTTGGCAAGTTGAACGTATTTCCTGTTCAGAAATGTTGATTATAGCCAAGATGCCTAAGCCGGTGTTGATAACATCATCGCTACGAGCTCGTCCGACTTTGGATCCTGGTACCGTTTAGGGTCGTCGTAGGGTCGTCGTCGAGGGACGTATGCCGTACGTAAAGCCACTAACCTCTCTGTAAGGGCGGTCCCCCTTGTAACTTTCGCATTCTCTCTGTAAGGGCGGTGTCGTCAGAGCTTGCCAGTTCAGCGCTAATAATCAACCGTTCCTACGAACAGCGATGTCGCAATAAGGCGTATGGTGTTATTCGCGTGCTTTGCGCAAGTGGGGACCGCATGAAAGTCTGACTATTCAGAAACATGGGCGGCAAATGGCTCATACGTCTTCTAAGGGCACTGTTAGTTCTCTGCGTTTGCGCGCAAGGTAAGCTTTCCCCTTGCCATTGTGTGCACGTCCGACACCAAGCTACGTTGCATACAAGGGTTTCGCAGTGTTAGCGCGTGTTATAATTGACTTTTTCATCACCGCTTTTACATGTCCAGTTGGAGCGGCGCAGCCGTCCATCCTGGTAAACGAGGATGGAAGCCATGGACGCGAGCGTTCACTGCTCCAAGGCGCTAATGCGTCAGGTGACTAAAACCCGTATTCGTAGGAAGACTACCAGGGTGTCAACAAACAATCAACATGTGTCAAACTCTTGTACCTGTAACCAGTAAGCCATTGTCCCGGAAGCCACTGGCGGCTCGCGTCCTCTGTGCGAAGTTCATTGCCTTCTACAGACCACGCAATAATACAAGGCACCGTGACTAGGTGCTCGGCCTTTTCTAGGAAAAGAAGTTGGTTCCGCAACCAGCATTATCAAACCTGTTTATCCCATATGTTAAGCTGCCCTAGCCTATCATCAAGGTTTATGCTTTATATTTAAAAGCTGCGCGGACAGACGATTAGCGACCTAACCACCTCCCACTGTCCTGCGTTCCTTGCAGCTGTCTTCGTGGTTGGCAACTATGATTCGCCTTTCTGGGCTATCGTCGACCACGGCGTAAATTTCCCGGACACCGAGGCAAAATGGATCTGGTCGTCTCCATTTTTGGAGTTTAACACGTCGACAAACGAGTACTTCACGTTCTCGATGGCCTTTGCCGTTGACAATCTGACCAACGCTACGTTATACTTGATTGCCGACAATGAAGCTGACGTCTACCTCGATGGCGAGTTAAAGGGCTCCCAGCGCGGCGGTTGGTACACATGGGGCGAAGTCATGACGCCCATCCAGCTGGCGCTGCAGCCCGGAGTCCACACCCTCAGTCTGCTGGGGGTTAACTACCCCTGCTACGACTGCAACAACCCAGCGGGTGTGCTGGCGGCCCTGATGAATGACAGCAGCAATGGGGTTATTGTACGGACGGACGGATCCTGGTCTTGGACTTACAGTGGTGCCGGTAAGCAACCGCCGTTCACTGGTAACGTGTGCAAGACTTACACCCTGCTAGCTCTGTTATTTCCTCCGCTAGACACAAGACACATTTTCTGTCATGGTACATCCCTGTACGTGCAGCCCTCATGTCGTCGCAATGGTAGCCGTATGAAGGCCTCGTCACCCTCATCTCCGGCCTCCTCTGCGTGTCCCAAGTCGACGGTCCTCCACCCGATACACATTGTAGTCACCCCGTTTCCCCACTCCATCCACCTTTCACCTTCCCCGCAGAGGGTGACGTCCGCCTTGTCACCAGTAGCGGTCTGCTTCCTGACCAGCAGCAGGGCATGGTCCAGATCCTGCGGTCGCGCCGCTGGGTCAGCCTGCACCAAGACAACTGGGGCCTGCGGGAGGCGCGCGCCGCATGCAGGCAGCTGGGCTGGGGAACCGGCAGCCCCGTCATCAGCGCAGGGGCGCGGTACGGCAGCCGGCCTGAACCCGTGTACAGCAGCTGGTACTGGTACTGCGACTGGGGCAAGAACCGGCTGGCGGACTGCGGGGGCTTCTCGTGGACTCTGTCGTTGTTCGCGGAGAATGGCACCGGGGTAAACCAGACCGCGGGTGTGGATTGCCGCAACGGTAAGGGGTGATTGGGTGAGGGGTGATTGGGTGAAGGATAAGGCTGTGGGAGCTGATGAGGTGTATGGGTAATGAGGAGCGGCAATGAAGGGATACCAACTGAATCATTACATACGCCCAATCGCCCTCCTCCTACTTCGCTAAACTCCGTCCCTTCTACCATCCTCCCTTACCCTTCTTTCCTATCCCCATCAAAACCACCACCACCTCCCAAACCCTAAACCACACACTCGCCATCACCACGTCAGACCCGCCCGCCCGCGACGGCGACCTGCGGCTGCTGGGCGACAATGCCACCCTCAGCGGCGCCGGCGTCCTGCAGGTCTACTTCGCCGACACCTGGGGATACTTCAGCAGCTGGGCCAGCTGGGACTACCTGGATGCGCGCGCCGCCTGCAGGCAGCTGGGCTGGGAGACGGGTGCAGCGCTCGGGGACGCGGGGGCGCTGTACGGCAGCGCGGTGGTGGTGGGGCCCGTGTGGCGGCTGTACCCTTACTGCAGTTGGTGGGATACCCGGCTGGTGAATTGCTCGCTGGGCGGGGGCTACGACTACCTGGAGGCGACGGACGCGCGCGTGTTCAACCACACGGCGGGCGTGCAGTGTAGGAACGGTGAGCTAGGGGGAGGGCATGGGCTGCAGGAGGTGGCGACTACCGGTACTGTATTGCCCAGAACTCAATTAAGAAATGTTGACAATTATATTTGTTTTGCGTTTTGTCAATTGGGGCTGAGCGGGTTTTCGGCCCTGTCAATTGGGGCTAGCAAATCGCCAACAGAAGGTCAAATGGGGCAGAAATACATCCGTGTTGTCAATTGGGGCTGGAAAATAGGCATGTCAAATAAATGATGGGCAATACGGTATATGACTTTAGTCGCTGCACGTGCATGGCCTTCCCGCACCACCCCTCCATGACCCCCTCCCCCTCAACCGCACTTCCAACCGGGTGCATGCCTGCTCCCAGAGCTCCCCGGCCAGGGCCAGCTGAAGCTGGTGGGCAGTGACACGCCGGGCCGCGGCACGCTGCTGGTGTACCACGCGGGCGCCTGGGGCGCCATCTCTTCCAGCTGGGACTGGCGGGCGGCGCGGGTGGTGTGTCGGCAGCTGGGCTGGACCAGCGGCGACCCCGTGACGAGCTCCAAGTACGGCAGTGCCTCGGGCCGGCTGCTGCGGACGTCGCTGCAGTGCGAGTGGGACAGCCCCAGCCTGTTCGAGTGCCCCAGGAGCTCAGACTTCGAGGTGGGGCAGGGAGGGGGGGAGTTGGGGCTTGGAGGGGGAGTTGGGGAGGATTGGGGGTTGGGGCGTGGTGGTAGACGGGTAGAATCTTCCCTAGGGCCAGTTGTTGGGGCTTACGCGCAGCCGCTCCTCCTACTATGCTGTGCGGCCACCCTTCCCCTGTGCTTGTCGTCTAGTTTGCCACTGCCATTCAACATGTTGGGTATGTTTTCCCCTCCAGGACAATGGCCTCATCCCCGACGACTACCCCTGGCTGGCAGGCGTGGAGTGCCACAACGGTGAGGGGCCGGGGGTACGGCAGCGGGAGGCCGGGTAGGGAGGCGACTGCATGGCTAATGCAGGCTTGTGAGGACACCCGCCTTGGGGGGGCGGTAGCAAACTGGCCACTCCTACCTTTCCACCGTGCCTTCTTCCAACCAGCGTGCTTGCCCCCAGCCTTTCTGCCTACCTACTCACTACCTTCCCTTCCGCTCCTCCTCCTCTTCCCTCGCTGCCCCTCCCTCCCTTAAGCTACGGTCAAGGTCAGTGTTTCCGCGGCATAGTTTACCTAATCCCTCCCTCGCTGCCCTCCCTCTCAGAGACGGAGGCTGTGCGCCTGATGAGCGGCGGCCTGGACTCCCGCGCCAACGGCAGCGGGGTGGTGCAGGTGCTGTTCAGGGGCGTGTGGGGCGCAGTGGAGCATAGCTACTGGGACTGGCGCGACGCGCGGGTGGCCTGCAGGCAGCTGGGCTGGACCACCGGCTACCCGGTGCAGGGGGCGGGGGCGGTGTACGGCATCCCACCGGGATCAGTGTACGGCGTAGGGTACGGCTGCGTGTGGAATGAGAGCAGCCTGGCGGAGTGCAACCGGAACAACAACTTTGATGTGTACACCACCGACAGCACCGGCTTCACATCGCTGGCAGGAGTGCAGTGCGTCAATGGTGGGGAGGGGGGAGGCCAGGGGAGGGGCTGGTGAGGGAGGGAGGGCTGTAGGAGGAAGGTTGTCGGAGCAAGGCCTGTGATTGCCATTAGGAGAGCGATAGGTAAGGAATTTGCACTCGGGGCCGGGTTGCACAGGCGGGTATGCAAATGCCTAAACGGGGAAGGGGCTCCGCACAAGGCTGCTGGTGATGTTCAAAAGAGCATTGCTGTGAAGGCTACAAATAGCGGCTCCCTTGCCCCAGTCTCCCGCTTTCTCCCCTTTACCCCTCCGCGTGCGCCTCCCTCTACCTGCTCCATATCCTCCGTGTCCTCCTCCTGGTCCTGCTGCCCGGCGCTCAGAAACGGATGGGCCCGAGGGCGCACTGCGACTCACGGCCGGCCCCACCGCACTGTCCGGCACCGTGGAGGTGAGGAGTCGGGACTGCAGGACGATAGTGAGGGGGCTGCTCGTTATGGACAGGAGTCAACGGAAACGGGGTTTGGCATGTGGGGATACGGGTTGAATCCTTGTTTGCTAGTATGGCGTTGCATGTTGCATCTTTTGGTGGCTTGCCTGTGACTAGCCTGCAAGGGCTGTTGTGTTACCTGTTGGCTCATTACCTGTTCCCTTTACAAGACGGCTTAATACTAACCCGATCCTGGTCAGGCCTGCTCACTTTTCTCCTGTCCCCTCCCCCGTTCCCCCAGATCTGGTATAACGGCAGCTGGGGCTCCGTCTACCAGTCCCGTTCCTGGGACTGGCGCGCGGCCCGGGTGGCGTGCCGGCAGCTGGGCTTCCTCAACGGCAAGCCGGTCTTCAACGCGGTGTACGGCAAGAGCAGGGGTGAGGAGCGGGGATGGGGGGCGGGGTTAGGCGGGGCGCCTGGGTTGGCGGTATGTCAAGGCGCAGCGCGGAAACGTGCACCTGTGAGGCAGGACCGTGTCGCCCTAGGCCGGCCTGTAACCCCTTCGGTGCCTTGCAGCCTTCTTCTACTGCTACGGCGAGCGAGCAGCACTTTAATGGCCGAGCATCCTCGCCATACTCTCATGCCACACTGTTCAATTCATTTTTACGGTACATCTGTTTGTCAGCCCTTCGTCCACCCTTCGTGCCCGCGACGCTCTCGGATTTGGATCGGACTTTATGTATGGTAATGCTCACGCCGCCGCGCCCGCCTGCAGGCCCTGTGTGGCTGACCGAGGTGGTCTGCAACGGCACGGAGGCGCGGCTGACGGACTGCCAGCGGCGGGAATTCGGTGATTACCAATACTGGGGCGGCCACGACGGGGACGCGGGGGTGGAGTGCAGCAACGGTGAGGGGGGGGTGCAGGGGCGAGTGGCTTGGATGGGATTTTGGACGAGACGGGGGTGGGCAGGACGTGCGGAGGATGTGCGGGTTGCGGGGTGCTGCGTTGGGAGGGGCGTCACGGCGGCTGTGGTGGTGGTGATACCGGCCCCTTGGTCCAGTACCGCCAACAGGAACGGCGGCTCCGTCCTCTGGGAGGATATAGCCAAAGCGCATGTGATAGTAAAGCTACCCAACACGGAGGCACAACCGCTCTCAACTCGCACCACCCCATACCACAGCGCGTTCACCTGCCCTCCCTGTTGCAGTTCCTGTAGCCCCTGTCTCGCACCCCCCCCTGCCGTCTGCCACCTGTCGGTAGTCGCCTGACAGTCCGGTGGTGTGCAGGTTGGACTTGGTGAGTTGAGAGCTCACATGGGAACCCACGTTCCTCGTTCTTTGCCCCCTACCCTACCTCCGCCCGCAGATCCAGACCCCGAGGAAGGCGAATTGCGGCTGGCAGGCGGAGCCACCGCCAACACTGGCCAGGTGGGGTGTAGCTAGGGGGCGGGGAACTCGAACACGCGCCCGTGCTACCAGCAACTCACACGTCGCCAACACCACCATCATCACAACCCGCATGCTTGCGGTGTCCCCGACCCCCACTTCCTCCGCCCTTTCTGTTTGCTGCCGGCGCTGCTCTCCCTTTCGACACGGACCTAACCTAGCCCCACAATCATCCTGCTTCCCGCAGGTGGAGGTGTTCTACAACGGCAGCTGGGGAGCCGTGTGCGAAAACAGCTTCGACGTGTACGAGGCGGCAGTGGTGTGCAGGCAGCTGGGCTACTCCGGCACCCCCCGTGTGGAGCCGCTCCTGCCCGGCCGCCAGCGCCCCGCATTTGTTGCCTGGCAGCTGGCGCCCACCTGGCTGGCCAACCTGCGCTGCCTCGGCAACGAGAGCCGCCTGATGGACTGCCCGGGGGCCGAGACGCCGGGGCAGACCTGGGGCTGCAGCGCGGGCGTCGGAGTGACGTGCGGCCTGGGTGGGTGCAGGTTTGGCGCGGTGGGGTGGGGTGAGGTGGAGGGTGGAACGGTGTCTGTCTTATTTACCATGCTCGCCTTATTTCCGCCCCCACTTCTCAGTATCACTTTCCATCACAAATACTTGCGTACCAACACCGTCGCCTCTTTTCCCTGCCCGCCTCCCCTTCCCAGACACCCTTCCCCCTGAGGGCTCCCTGCGCCTCATCTCGCCCGAGGGCAACAACAGCCGGGGTCAGCTGCAGCTGCTGCACAACGGCATCTGGGGCGTCATCGAACACACCGGGTAGGAACGGGGTAGGGAGCAGCTGGGAGAGGAAAGCTGGGCAGCGGGGCAGCGGGTGATCTCAGGAGGGGGCCCAGGTGCCGTGGGGCGGGCGGCTGCGAATGCGAAACACATCAAATAGCTCGGCGCATGACGTCAACCCCGCCGCTTGTTGGGTCCCCAGGTTTGACTGGTATGCTGCCCGGGTGGCGTGTCGGCAGCTGGGCTTCCAAAGCGGCAAGCCCGTGGCTTACAGCGTGTATGGAGGAGGTGAGGCGGAGGGTGGAAGTTGGGAGCCGGCTGCTCACGTGACGCATGCGAGTAGGCGTAGTATGCTTTGAGGAGGAGCTGGTAGGAAGGAGGGTGGACGCGTGCTTTCATGTGGGGGACCGTATGCCGGCCCAGGCGGGGTGGCGGCCTTTTCCTTATCCCCTACCAAATAGCTACCCCTTGCCTCCCCTACGTCCCCCCAGGCGAGGGTCTGCCCATCTGGCTTGCCAACCTCCAATGCGCCGGCAACGAGAGCCGACTGGTGGACTGCTCTCGCCCCTACCCCTTCCTGGACGACTGGCCTGTCTACCAGGGCATTGAGGGGCACACGGCAGGGGTCATCTGCTCGGCAGGTGCTGGGTTGGGAGTGGTTGGGTGGGGCGGGATGAGGAGTAGGGTGTTGGGCGGGGCAGGAATGTTGCAGCACCTCCGCCGGCCGCCTAGGGAGCGCTGGTGCCCACACCCTTATCCGGACCCTCGCTTCCTGTCTGCCGTCTGTACCTGTCCACCTCCTGCCCCTGCGTGTCCACTGCACGCTGACCTGCATACCCAAAATACCTGCATCCCCGCCCCGCTGCCCATCTTCCTCACCCGCCTCTCTCCCGCCACAGATCCCAACCCCCCTTCCGGCTCCCTTCGTCTGGTTGAGGGCCCCGTACCCTGGGCGGGTCGGCTGGAGGTGTGGTCCGAGTTGGAGGACGCCTGGGGCACCGTGTGCAACAACGGCTTCAGCGACCAGGCAGCGCAGGTGGCGTGTCGGCAACTGGGCTACACGGGCGGCAGGTGAGGGCGGGCGACGGGGGCGGGGGCGGGCTGACTGGGCCGCGGACAGAGGAGCAAGGATGGGTAGCCGCATCCTGCCAGATCAGCATGAAGGGCAAGCGCGGGGTAGCGCGGGAGGAGTTTGAGGGGGCGTTGAGGGGTCACGACGGTCCGGTGCTGCTTCCAGGTATGGTGTGTTGACTGCTCGCAACACCCTTCCCTTGCTTTTTCCTGCCTCCGCTCCGTCCCCGCCCCATTTTTGCAGGGCTGTGGGCATCGGCGCCTTCCACGCCGGCGCCAGCAGCAATTTGTGGGGCATGTACCAGCCCTTCGCGCTCAATTCGGTGGTGTGCAGCGGGGGCGAGGGCGCGCTGGGGGAGTGCAGCTACGCGGAGGGCGCCCAGCCGGGCTGCTACTGGGACCATACCTATGATGCTGCGGTGTGGTGCGATGCGCCCGTGACAGGTGGGGTGTTTGGGAGGTGGGGGGATGCCGCGGGGTGAGTAAAAATAATGAAAACTGACGAATTGGATGACGAGGGGTGGGTGCACGGCAGCATGGGTGAGTGTAGAGCGTCACACTGCAATGGGGGGGTGCCTGAGGGAGGCTTAGGGTTGGTAGGGTGGGTACAATGAGGCGCTACGGGGGCGTGCTGTTACGACTACCGGTACCTTTCCTCCTGGTACTGTGCTGCCGTTGCTGCCCGCTGCAGGCAACGTCACCGCCCCTGGCTCAGTGCGGCTGCTGGGCGGTCCAGGGCCCTGGTCGGGCAGAGTGGAGGTCTACTACAACGGGGTAAGAGGGGAGGGTTGGCGGAGGCAGCAAGTGGGAGACGACTGATACCATTCAGCTAGGCGGGAAGTGTGGGCGGAGGGGGCTGCACAGCTTGGCCGTCTGTTATGTGGCTGAAGTGACCCCACCCTCCCTAACCCCTCCCTCCCTCCCCTCCTTCCCTCCCCTCCTTCCCTCTCCGCCTGCCCACCAGACGTGGGGCTCCGTGTGCAACGGCGACCTCACGGCCTTGGACGCACAGGTGGGTGGCTGCATGGGTGGGCGTGCGGGCGCCAGGGATAAGACAACGACTCTGTTAGGGAAGATGTACACATGCGCCATAACTCCCTGTTGGCAGCACTCCAATGCACGCCTGCTCTTACGTCGAGCAGACGTACATTCATCACATACCGGTACTTTTGTTCCCTTCCTCCCTCCCTGACGCTCACGCACCCCCCCTGCCCCCACCCCAGGTCGTCTGCCGGCAGCTGGGCTACTACGGAGGCCGCGCTGCTCCTCGAACCATGCTGCAGTACAGCTACGGCTACGACGGCCGCTCCTCCGCCCCCATCTGGCTGGCCCGCCTCGGCTGCACCGGCAGCGAGACCGCCCTCGCGCAGTGCCCGGGTGTGGGCGGGCTGGGCAATGGCTCCTCCTGGAACCCGCAGTCCTGCTGGCAGTACCACTATTGGTCGGACGCGGCGATCATGTGTACCACAGCACCGCAGGGTGAGGGCGGAGGGAGGTTGAGGCGAGGGAGAGGGGCAGTGCTTGCATGCCGGCTGTCCGCTCCTGACTGTGTAGCGGCGTCCACCCCCGCTCAGTGCCTTTCAAGTGTGGTCTTACCCCTCAGCGCCCCATACACCCGTTTGGCACGCCATTCCTGCTTCCCCGACCGCATACCTGCCTAACAAACCTCCTCACCCCTCCCCGCCCCTACCCCCGCGCCCCTAATCCAGGTGTGCTGCTGGACGCGCCGCTGGACTCCCCGCCTCAGGACTCGGAAAAGCTGGGAAGCCCCTTGCCGGTGAGCGAAGATGCTGGAGGGAGGGAAGGGAGGGAGTGGCACAACACCCTAGAGATTCCTCCTGACGCCCTCTCCTACGCTAACTTGCACGCTGAGCGCACACAGTTTGCAGCAGCATGCACGGCTTGCTTCGGCCCCCTGCTTCCCATTACCCTCCCTCCCCCCGTTCCCCTTCTGTAGAGCCGCCTTGTCTGCCCTGACGATTCCCTGCCCGGCGGCCTAGCCTTGCAAGTCGACATGCCTCCCTTCGAAGGCAACGAAGCCGACAGCGCGGGCGTGGTAGGACTGCGCCTGCTCTGCTACCAGGACGGCGCCCTCCTCACCACCCTCACCTCCGACGCGCCCTACCCCTGGTCCAACACCGCTAGTTGGAGCAACAGCTCCTGCACGCGCGACCCGGCCACCGGTGCGATGCCGTACATCACGGCGGCGCGCGTGCGGGTGGCGGGCGATGTGAACGACACCGCGAGTGCGGTGGACGCGCTGGGGGTGACGGATGTGGAGCTGCAATGCAGGTGAGGAGAAGGAGGAGGAGCGGTGGAGCTGAAGAGGGGTTCCGCTGAGAACTCAGACTGCGTGGATCTCTGAATCGTCCTGGCATCCTATTTAGTACTCTGTCGCCCTTTAAATGTTTCCCCCCCTCCCCCCTGTCTTGCCCTCCTCGTTTACTTAAAACACCACGTCGTCGTGCCCGTGCGCTCCCACTTGCTAACACACTCCACAGCGACGGCCAAGTCCTCTCTGAGACGGGGCTGAGCAACGGCACCTGGGGCGAGTGGGCGGCCTGCCCCCAGGGCACAGCGCTGTGCGGGCTGGGGCTGCAGGTCAATGGCTGGCGAGGGTGGGGAATGCAGGTGAGTGCGGAGGCGGGAAGGGGAGAGGGAAGGAAGGAGGAGAGCGAGTAGCTGTCGGGTTGAGATAGGGGCGCGGCGTTGGCCTTACTAGCTTGCCATGGCTGCCGCTACGGCTGGTCCTAGTGCGCTCGTCATTTGCTGCAAGGACAAAAAGGGGAGGAGGGTTGCCGCCGCTGGTTGAGGGGTGGCGCGGGAAACCACAGCACACGTGCTGGTTGCCTCCGCTGCACCTGCTGCCCGCCCCTGAGCGCCTTCATCGGCCTTCTCACCTGTACACATCACCACGTGGTTTCTTTCCAATCACGTATCAGTACCAGCAAATATGTTCGCGTCATTCGCGTATGGCCTTATAATTATGCGGTTCCCTAACCCCCTGCAGGCCGCAAATGATGACACCGGGGTCACGGGCCTCAACGTGTCCTGCTGCGCACTGCCCCTGGGTGGGTGGGAGTGATGTAGCAAGGACGGGGCTTTGGGGGGCGCGGATATCCTCTACGCTTTGCATCAAACAGTGGGATAGGGGCCATTGCGGGCACTGGGATGCCATGGCTTGTACACATTTATGTGGAGTGCCAATGGAGGGAAGGGCGAACACCAGCTTTTTCACGGCTTGCGTAATTGAGCATACCTGGCTTCTCTGCAACGCACCCGGCCCCATGCAGGCTTCAACGCCGTCTACGGCTCCCGGCGCGTGCGGCTGGCCGGCGGCAGCACGCCGCAGGAGGGCCGCGTAGAGGTGCTCTCACCTGCCGACAACACCACGTGGGGCCTGGTGTACGAGGAGGGCTGGGACGCGCGGGATGCTCATGTCGTCTGCCGCGAGCTTGGCTGGAAGACGGGACGACCCGTGGGTCACGCCGGAGAGCTGTATGGCGTGGGTCTCGGCCCTCTGCTGTACATTGGCGTGGATTGCAAGGTAGGTGGCTTCAGGAATAGGGCGGTGTGGCTGGGTTGCTGAAGAGGAGTATGTGTAGCAGCAGTAACGCGAGTTGCCATCATGGTTTGTCTTAACATTCGTCGAAGCGTTGTTTGTTTGCGTGTATACGTTTGTATTTCATGTACCCCGTGCTTCTATGCTCTCTAGCTCGGCTGTGCAATGCACGGCCCATGGACAGCAGCAGCTGCTGCTACCGGTATAACCGCCCTCGAAATCCCATCATCTTCCACTCGGATCCCCACACATCCGCGCAGGGTGCCGAGTCCCGTCTGGCCGACTGTGCGGTGGGTGAGTGGCCCGCACCTGCTGACAACTACCAGCGCAGCTACTCGGCCGGTGTCATCTGCAGCGCAGGTGGGGGTGGGGTGCAGTGAAAGGCTATGCGGAAACAGCTAGACTTTGCTTCCTCGTAGCAGGGTGTTTTGCAAAACGGGGGTTCGCTCTGTTCTCTTGCCACGAAGCCCCTCTGAACATTCTTCCAGCTCTGAACCAGCGCCCCGAAAGCAAACGCAACCCATGTAACCGGGGTGCTGGTGGGCGTTGTGTAGCGCGCTGTTGTCGCAACAACAGCCCGTGCCTCTTCCGTCCTAACCCTGAAGAGCCTCCTGCTCCACCCTCCCCCATTGGATATTCTTCGTTTCTCCCCCAGACCCTCCCCCTGATGTGGGCACTGCCCGCCTGGTTGAGTTCCCGGGCAGCCAGGGCCCTTTGTCCGGGGTGGCGGGCCGCGTGGAGGTGTATTGGAACTACACCTGGGGTGCCGTCAGCATGGGGAGCACCTGGGACAACAAGGCGGCAACGGTGGTGTGCAGGTGGGGTTGGAACGGGGGGGGACTGGGTTAACTGAGCTGCGATAAATCATGAGCGTCATGACCGTAGCATGCCACAGAAGATTATGATGAGGTTACAGATGGCAAATAGGGGAAGGATGGGGGAAATGGAGGACTTGGTACAGCACTTGTCCCTGGCAGGCCCTGGCATCCAACTGCACAAGTATAACAGCCTCGTTCCAAGCATACTGCGGCCTTCCCATTGTCCTTTTTCTCTCTCTCTCTCCCTCTTAAGCACCGACACCCGGCTCTGCGCCCCTCCCATCTCCCCCATGCGCAGGTCGCTGGGTCACCGCTGGGGCCGCGCAGTCCCGGCCCGCGACTTGGTTCCGGACCCCGGCTACTCGCTCCCCGTGGTGGCGGTCAACGTGGACTGCAAGGGGGACGAGGCGTCCTTGCTGCTGTGTGCCTCGGAAGCCGGCTTCCAGACCACCTTCGACACCTACTCGCGCTACTACGACGCGGGCGCCATCTGCACTAACGGTGAGGAGGTGTGAGCAAGCAGTGCAGGTGGCAAGGCCGGGGGTGCTGTGGGAAGAGCCGATGCGCCCCATTTCCGCGGCCCTCTGCTTTGCCGCAATTCCCGGCTTTCGTCCTCCTTGTCTTTGGCTGCTTGCTGTTGTCAACATGAGCAATATGCATGTCCTGTACACCCAATTCGGCTCTTGGCACCCCTCGGCCTGCCATGCAACCATTCCTCCCGTGCAACCATCCGCAGACACGATACCTTCATCTGGCTCGCTGCGTCTGAGCTACGGCGCCACCCCCGCGGAGGGCCGCCTGGAGGTGTTCCTCAACCTCACCTGGGGCCGCGTGGGCTCCTCCTCCTGGCAGTACGGCGGGAGCTGGCCTTACACCTTCGACCATGCAGACGCGCGGGTGGCGTGCCGGCAGCTGGGCTACAGCGGCGGCTGGGCGGCCAACGGTGCCGGCTGGAGCGGCACGGACGAGGGCCCCCTGTGGCTGAGCGATCTGACGTGTGCCGGCAATGAAACGTCGCTGCTGGGCTGCCTGCCGGGCAGCAACAACAACACCTGGTTCCAGCACGAGACGTGGTGGCTGGGACAGGCGGGAGCGATCTGCGAGCAGCAGGGTGAGAGGAGCGGGGAGGGGGGAAGGGTGTGAGGGGGTGGAATCGGGAATGGGTTGGAGATAACGGGGAAAGGGCCAGGGAGGAAGGCAGCTGTAAGGGCGCGTCAGCTGATTAGGAATGACTTGTCAAGAATGGATCCCTGGCGGAGGCGTTTCCTTGCGGTCAGACTGCATTCCTGATGATGCCACCCTCCAACCATGTCCCCACTTCCCTCCCCCTCCACCACCACATTTGTAAGCCTTGCCGTTTCCCAACCCCGGCTTCTTCTGTTCCCCCCCTCCCCTCCAACCCGCCTAACCACTGGTCCCCGCAGACGACCTGGCCGACGGCACCCTGCGTCTGGTGGGCAGCAGCCCCTCCGCGGGTCGGCTGGAAGTGGCGGTGGACGGCATGTGGGGCACGGTGGACCCCACTGGCTGGGGCTGGGCGGAGTCGCTGGTGGCGTGCCGGGCGCTGGGCTTCAAGAGTAGGTGGCCTGATGGGGCCTGACGGCCTGGCACGGGACGAGGTGGACACTCACTTGTTATGTACGGGACCCCACAACGCGCACTTTGGCAAGTACCTGCGGCCGGCCCGAGCAGTACGCTGTTAGGCCTTGCATCTCGCCCGCATTGCATTGCTCCCAACCCGCCTACAGCTCATCTCTTGACCACCGTCACCCCCTGCCCCTCCTGCTTCAACACACAGGCGCCCTGGGCATGGCGTCCGGTATGGGCGAGGTGCCGCAGACCGGCACCGCCTCCACCTCCTTCTACCTGCCTGTGTGGCTCTCAGGCGTCAAGTGCAACGGCTCCGAAACCTCCCTGGCCTCCTGCCAGAACGGCACCTCCTACGGGCCCCCTTCCGGAATACCCTACGGCCAACCCAACTCTAACGGCCGGCTGCTGCTGCGCTGCTCTCAGCAGGAGCCTCTCACACCGCTGTCCGTGCGGCTGACGGGCAGCCCCGTGCCGTACATGGGCCGCTTGGAGGTACGCAAGGGGTCAGGAAGCATGAGCACGTGCATGGGCTTGTCGAATTACCCATTTCGGTTGCAAGCCAACCTCCTACGCAATCGCTTTTCGCTTTTCGCTGGGTGTGCAGTTGCCTTGCGCCAGCAGGGCCACTTCCTCATGCAGCCTTCTGTGTCCATGTCTGAGCCCAAACACCATACGTTCCCTCTCCTGTCCTCGTCCCGCGCAGGTGTACTGGGCGGGCTCCTGGGGCACCATCTCACGCTCCACGTACTACGGCAGCTTTGAAGCTAGCTTTGGGGCTGTGGACGCGGCGGTGGCGTGCCGCATGCTGGGTAGGCGGCGGGCTGGGCCACTGGGCCGGGCCAAGCGGATGTGGTGTCACCGTTAGTTGTGCATTCTAGTCAAACCCTACAAAGGCGGCAGCGATCGTGTAGTGTTGTGGTGGGTCGAGGTACGCGGAGCTGTTCATCTAGCCACTCTGCGTATCGCTCCAACATGCTGTCCGCTCTTGGGCGCCCCGGCTCGGTCTGCTGTGGGCAGCCCCGTTGACGCATGCCGTGGTCACAACCTGCCAGCGCAACGCACGTGGGCTTCCTTCGCTCCACGTGCTCCTTGCACGCCCCTATGACCCGCCCTACGTTTCTTTCTCGGCATGAATTGCCCTTGGGTCCTCGTTCCATCTTCCTCCCCCGCTCGTCCCCCAGGCTATGAGCCGCTGCACGGCAACACCTCCGACGTGCTGCGTGGGGACAGCTTTGGGGTGGGTGTGGTAGTCCGGTTTCCGAAAAGCGAAGGTGACAAGGCGGCAAACAAGTCGTGAATGGTCTTGGTGTGCCAGGCTGGGGTTAAGGGAGCGGCTATAACTTGTCCGCGCGCCTTCCGTTAGTACGAACCATACCAACGGCTGTCCCTGTCTGTCTTTACCACTATCCTTCCCTTATTGGTTCCCATTCCAAAAAAACAGTGCATTTAGACTTTGCTGACAGGCGGCTGCTATGGCTGATTCTTACCCCCTAGTAACCCCTGATCACCCCCCTTTCCCTCGCCTACCGCAGGAGCCGTACTCCCTGGTCCCCGTGCACTACCAGCCATTCGCCTGCAGCGGCACCGAGACATCCCTGTGGGACTGCCCGGGCTACGCAGGACCCACAAACCACACGAGGCTGGGTGTCCTCAACGGCGAGTATTGGACTGAGTCCGACTCGCACAGCTACGACGTGGGCCTGGCTTGCAAGCCGCCACCCAACGGTGCGTGGCAGGGTGCTTAACCCCTGCAGGCGATGTGCCGTGCGTTGGGGGCACTGGTACCCTTTATCGGTGCGAGATGCGTGTGGCTTGTCTCATGTGATGCCCTAGCTACTCCTCTATGAGCTGTCCTGCTGCCCCAATGCCCCACCCCAGATCCGGTGCGGTACTCACCGCCACCCCGGCCGCCCCCGGGACCTCCTTCCCCGCCCAAGCCCTCCCCTCCATCTCCTTCGCCTAGCCTTCCTCTCAGCCCACCCAGCCCTCCGTCAGGCCCTCGTCCCCCACCACCTCCCAGCCCCCAGCCTCCCTCGCCTCCCCGACCTCCACGCCAGCCTCCCAGTCCACCCCAATGTGAGTACGCTCACAGCCCTTGCCTCTGAAGCTAAAGCCCTCGGCCTTGCAGCGTGACCTGGTGCGGCCCCATGGACCTTGGCCGATAGACAGCCCTTCCGTGCTGCTGCTGGTTGTACCTTGGTTGCATCTTTCCGCTGTTTTGCTGCGGACACCGCTTGTCCCGGCAAGCCTCGTGGCCCACGAGTAATCCACCACCAGCCCATATACCCTTTACCAGGCTCCCCTTCCTTCTCCCAGGCTGACGTCCGTGCTGTCGTGTTCCCTCCCTTTCTATGGCCTCCTCCCCCTCCACAGCCCCTCCGCAGCCCAGCCCGCCTCCTCCCCCTCCCAGCCCGCCTCCCTCCCCTCCCGCCCCGCCTCCCCCGCCCCCGGCCTTCGAGGTTCTGTCTGTGTCCCCCGGCCTGCTGCCGCTGGCGGGCGGCACCCTCACTGTGGCGGGCCGCTTCGAGGTGTGGCCGTCGGAGGAGCTAGTGACCTTCACCTGCGTGTTCACCCTGACGGACGCCTCCGGGGGCAGCAGGGAGGTGACCTCCAACTACACGGTAGGGAAGGGGCGGAGCCATGGCTTGGTACAGGGACAGCGGACATCAATACTGCCGCGACAGCAGCTGCTACGTGCGCGTGTAGTTGCTTGTTGAGGTCCTCCTCGCACCGCACGCCTGCAGACGGGCCACACGACGATACGGGCTGAACCCGGTCAGATGGTTCGTCTGCAGCACCTGACACCATTCAGCCCGCTTTTGTTGGCTTCGTGCTCTCTATGCTACCTTTCCTCACGTACGTGCCACCTCCTCCCTTTCCTTCTCTCCCTCTCCTTGCTTCTTCTGCAGGCGGAGCGCCCCTCCGTGTCCGTCATCCTCTGCCCCGCCCCGGTGGCTCGCAGCTCCGCCGCCTACCTGCAGCTCAGCATCGCCCGCAGCCCCGCGCGATCCGGCATGGGGGGCCTGCGGGAGGTGGTGGCCTACCCGGAGGTCATCAGGTACTACGCGCCCTGCCCCGCCGACTGCAATGACCACGGCAGCTGCCGACTGGGCGTGTGCAGCTGCAGCGAGGGCTGGACCGGGGAGGACTGCGGCACACCGGTACCGGTCTTCGCCATCAACGGCCTGCAGAGTGAGTAGGCATGGGTGGGGAGGCGTGCGGCTCGATGTAGGGTTCGCAGGCTCCAGCATTGCCAAGCTACCGGTATTCCATAGATGTAAGTTGACTAGATCTCACCTTTTGCAGGCCGTTACGGCGCGACCAATGGCCCCAAAATCTACCGATAACTTATCACTCCCAACACGGCCCCGCCCCTTGTACCCCCGACCTACCTCCTATGATTGATCTCTCTTTGACTGCCCTCCTTACAGACGGCCCCAGCAACGGCGGGCGACAGGTGCTGCTGGAGCGCTCCGCCTGGACCGCCCAGCCCCTCCTCGCCAACCCCATCCCCGCCACCTGGCTCCTCTCAACCGACCTGCCCGGCATCACCATCAACCCTACAACCGGCCAGTTAGACTGGCCTGCTGCGGTCGCCCCCGACACCTCCGCATCGCCCCACCTGGTCGCCCTCACCGCGGTGTCGTACGCCGGAAAGGTGGCGACCTACAGCTTCTACGTCTCTGTCATACCGTCTTACGGCATCAGGGAGCTAAGGCTGCCGGGCGGCTCGAGGGCGGCTCCAGGCAGCCGGATTGCCATCCTGGGCCGGCTGGGCTGGAGCCAGGCGGCGATTGCTGCAGGAACAGGTGGGATGCTGAAGGCATATTAGTCAAGATGTGTCACCGCGTTTGCCTCCCGTTGCATGTGCAGCTGCCGGCCAACTAGTTAATGCCTGCATGCCTCACCATAGCCCTCTTCTCCTCGCTATCCATTATAACAAGAGTTTGCATTCATTTTCTATTTGCTTTTTTTAATAAGCCTATTCTCCCGCTCCTCTATCCTCCATCCACAGATGCCAGCAGCCCGCTCCCCTCCCTGCCGGTGCTGGTGCTGGTGCGCCAGACCTCCCAGCTGGGCTCCTCCTCCTCTTCCTCCTCCTCCAGCAGTGCCTTCCAGGTGCTGCGGACCAACAGCAGCTCGGCTGACGGCGCATTCACGCTGGAGGTGCTAGTGCCGCAGAGCAGCATGGGGTGAGGCAGGGAGGAGGTACCGGTATTGGCAACGACTGACGTCGTGTTCAAAGGGCCCGGCGTGGCTACTGGCTAGCAGGGGTGATGGTTGAGGCTTCTTACTGGGATGCAGTCATGGCCCGATATCATGGTTCCTACGGCAACGTCATGTTGCGCAGATTTCCTCCTGCCTAACATCACTCCCTTGGCTTCCCCTCCATGCCGCACGCAGCTCCCTGGACGTCTTCGCGCTGCACCCCGCCGCCACCCTGGACGACACCGCCCCCTCGCCCTCCCCCGCGGACGACCTGCCCCTCTTCCAGCGCCGCACGCAGCTGTCCGTGCCCTTCATCGCCGCCGCCATCAACCGGGACGCGGGCAACACCAGCAGCCAGCTGGACCCGCGGTTCGCCCAGCCCACCCTGTCGCTGGGTCCAGGCAGCAGTGCGCAGCTGGGGGAGTTTGCGCGCCTAGTAGGCTCTCTCGAGGTAATCTAGTTGGAATGGAGGGAGGGAGGTGGTGTTGTAAGTGGGTTAAAGCGGTGCGGCTGAAGGGGGCCACGTGGTGGCAATCTTGACCCGCTAACCATTCACCGTTGCCCCTCGTCTGGCCCTGCCTCCAGGACCTGACCTCCCTGGCCGTCACTGTGCGCACCCGCCTGGTCTCCTTCTCCGGACCTCCGCCCAGCCTCACAGTCAACGCCACCCTCGCAGCGCCTCCCGCGCCCCTCTGCACCTCCAACTCGTCCTCCAACTCCTCCAGCCCGGCCATCTGCCAGGGCGTGCAGGACGCCACTGCCAGCTCGGCCCCCGGCAGTGCGGCGCTGCAGCTGCGAGTGGCGTCGGCGCTGGAACAGGGCTCGGGAGCGGCGGAGCTGGAGGTGAGGCTGTGGGGTTGTCAGTCGGGTGGGGTGCTGAAGTGCCATGATGGACTATTGGTTTGCATCGCCTTGGTCTCTGTCTGCGTCCTGTACAACATAGTGCATGTTCCCACCATTGCAGTTCCCCGCATGCGCCCCTCCCCATATCATGCCTTAAGCTACCGGTATTATGTGCCCCACCTAGCCCTGTCCCCTTTGCCTGACTCCCCCACTACTGCCGCCAGCTTGTGTTCACCCTGCGCGGCGGAGTGAGCAACGCCACCGCCACCCTGCTGCTGCGGGTGCTGGTGGACTCGGCGCGGGTGGAGCTGGCGGCCGACCCGGCGGGTCGCTTGTCCGTGGTGCTGCCGCCCGGTGGAGCCAGCAGCGTGCACCTTACCATCACCAACAACGGCAACATCGCGTCGGGGTGAGACCGGGCTCCTTTCGTTAGGGGTGAAACCCGCCAGCGACTTACCTACATGCCTGCATTTAAATTTTGACAGCCTCGCCTACTGTACACTTGTAATTATGATTATGATAATTGCGCCGGGCAGGCCCTGGTGTGTATTAAAGTGTGAGGCACTGAGGGTTATCCCCTGGATGCCAGCACCACCGCCGGTAGGCTTCGATATTTAGTGGACCGTTATCCGGTCCCTCGCGGGTTTGCCCGTGGGCTGCTTTCCAACACCCTTCTTCAGCGCACTATATCGTTGAGGTGGTTGATGACGTCGCGGTGTAGTGCATCACAACATACCGTACGCTTGTATGTGTAGTCTTTTCACCTTCTGTTGTCCAATGTTCACGCGCCCTCTCCTACCTGCCGTCCCTCGTCTGTCCCCCGCAGGCCCTTGGTGCTGCCCCCCACACCTGCCGGCGGCTCCTGGCTCACCCCCACCACGCCCCTGCCCCTGGCTTCGCTTGCGCCCGGCGCCTCTGCCTCCCTAGAATTCTGGATAGCCGTGCCCTCGAGCGCCCGCCTGGGCGATACCTTCTCCGTCAGTACCACCCTTTACAACAACGTGACCCGGGGGTCCGTGTCACTGGCGTTTGAGCTGGCAGTCGCCTCGGAGCCGCTGGGCAACCTGGAGGTGACGGTGGTGGACGAGTACACCACCTACGACCCAGCGCAGCCCCGGGTGGCTGGGGCCCGGCTGGTGGTGTGGTCGCAGGACGGCAGCACCATGATTGCCAGCGGCACGGTGGGTGGCGGGAGAGGGTGAACGTGAGGATGTCCTTGATAGGCAGGTCATTAATGCGGACCAAGAACGTACCTTGATTGTTTTCTCTGGTGCATTAAGCATCCCTTATCAAAGCTGTTGCCCAACTTGAGCGGCATGCCGCCTGCCTGCCTCACTGCAGACGGGTGACAACGGCACCTTCACCTTCCCCAACCTGACGGCTGGTTACACATACGCGGTGGACGCCTTCGCCGCCAACCACACCTCGGCCCGCCGCACTGTTACCATCACGGGTGGGTAGCGGGCTGGTTGCTAGGCGGCCTTGGTTTTGGGAGGTGCAGGAGTAGGGCGTTAGGATTCCGAGCGGCCATATTGTCAACGACTCTGTTGACCCGCAGTAAGACCATGCGGCATCCCTCATGTACACCCTCCACAGGCGGCGCTCGCAGCCTGCGCATCTTCCTGTCCCGCAGCGCCGTGCGCGCCTCCTTCGCCGTGGTGCCCACCACCTTCCAGGAGGTGATCGACATCGTGGTCAACGTGGAGTACCTCACCTTCGTGCCCATGCCGGTGGTGCGCATGGAGCCAGCCCTGCTGTGAGTGCTGCCGGGGAGTGGGCGGGTGGGTGGGAGACGTGCAGTTGCTTGTGGAGGGACGGAAAGGGCAGCCTGCATGCTAAGCTTGAAGTACCCACGCTCGTACCCGATGGACATACAACTGAGCAGTATGCTATGTATGCCTGGCGCGCTTGGCCCCCCCCCGCCCGTGTCGCTGCAGCTACGTGGAGGACATGCTGGAGTCGCGCACGCAGCAGTTGCGCATCATCAACACGGGCCTGGTGGCGGCGTTTAACGTTCGCATTAGCGTGCCTGTTGATAGCCCGGTAAGGGGTGGTGTGGTGTGGTGCGGGACGCGTCAGAGGTCGGGTTCAGCCGCAGGGAGTAGTGGGATTACCCTCTCCATTACTTTGATGCTGCCTCTTGCCGCTTCTACCTGCGGGTTATGTTGTCACACAATAAGCGATGGCCGTCCGTTACACGCAAATATAAGTCATCAAAGCCAAGCATGCCGATGGCCTTCCCCTCCTTCCCCCGCCCCTCCCCCCCCCGCAGTACTACACGTTGGGCCTGCAGGGCGCTCGCTGGCTGCAGCAGGAGAACACCACCCTGGAGGAGCCGGCGGACGTGATGGTGTCGGACACAGACGACTTCTCCTCCTCCTCCTCCGGCACCTCCTCCTCCTCCGCCGCCCTCAGCCTGACCAGCGGCACCCTGTACGTGCTGCTAGGCCGCATGCCCGCCATGAGCGAGCTCGTGGTGGAGCTGAGCGTGGCAGCCAAGCAGCTGGACAACAACAACAGCACCACCACCGCCACCGGGGCGCATCGGCGGGCGCTGCAGGGATCCAGCGCGTGCGGCTGGGCGGCACAGATCGGCGTAGTGTGGTCTGACCCCTGCGACCCGGAGAGAAGCCGCGCCGGCGCCACCTCCATTGTCAGCAGGTGCGTACGAAGGAGGCCTACGCAGTTGCGTAGCAAGGCGATGTCAGTTGTACGTGTACGTCTTCTTGCCCGGTCCTGTCTGCGGTGCTTGTATGGGATAGTCTTCTGGTCCTGACGATGACAACTGGGATGAGTGAAGACCACATGACTGGTATATTACTCTTCATGATGCTCTTCACGCCCCTCACAGGAGCTTCCACCCCAGCTGTGGCTGCACCGACTGCTCGGGCGGCTTTATTGATGCGATGGTGGTGTACGGCAGTGCGACCACCGGCAGTACAGTGGGTGGGTGGGGTGTGGGATGGGGTGAGGGGGCTGCTGAGGGGGCTGGTGGTGACCTCATAGCTGCCTGCCTGCCTGCATGGCTGGTAATGCCGCTGCGTTCGGTGGAGATTATAGCTTTGTGTACAGGATAGGCGTCCAAAGCTAATGCACTGCACTCTCTTTACACGAGGCCGTGCACGCTGCATGAGCTGTGGACTTGTGGGAATACTGACTTGTATATGACTTCTCACCCTCTCCCTCCGGGCCCACCTAACACGGTCGCTGTTGCCGCCAATCCTCCCGGCTGGTGCGTCCAGAGCTGAACCTGTGCGACCAGGCAAGTGCCGAACTGCGAGCGGGGTGGGGGGGGGGACCGGCTAGCTTCGCAGCTTAAAGTCCGACACTTTTAAAGCACATGGCCCCCCTTGAAAAGCAGCTAATTTGCTATCTTAGCTCCTCACGCTTGCTTGCTGCTTCCTCTTGCAATATGCCCGTATGCTCCCCCTAATGCATTGGCCCTCTCGCTTCACCTTCCCCCGTCTCCCCCCAACCTACTCCCTGCAGTGCGCCACCGACTGGTTCGATGTGGGCCTGTGTCTGGCCAAGGACATCATCGCGCCCTGGAGCAAGCCCGCGGGTGGCGTCATCGACATCATCCGCCGCATACGCTCCCTGTCAAAGGTAGTTGCTTGGCGCACGTGTAGTGCTATCACGCTGTATTGATGGGAGTACGCATGCCCGCACAGCCCTTCTGCCTCTACTGTTTAGTTAAATGCGGTTTCCCGCCGCCTAACTAACCTTGGACCGCATATGCGCCCTGCCGCCTGCTGTTTGCTCACACCCCCGCAGGGCGGCTCCCGGCGGCGCTCACTGCTTGCTGACGGCATGGCGCTGCAGGGCGACGCCGGGCTGCCCCTGCCCCTGCTGGCGTCCGGGCAGCAGCAGCAGCACTCCGCCCTGCTGGCCGTCGCTGACGCAACTGCTGTGGCGACTACCGTCATTAGCGAGGACGCTACTCAGCAGCACCAGCGCAGCCTGAGCGAGTGGTTGGAGGATGACGCACAGGAAGAGCAGCCGTCTTGGGAGGCGGCGGGTGACCCGGTGGTTGTCCGGAGGTCACTGCAGTCCAGCGGTGGGGGAGGCGGTGGCATGTCTGGTCCGTCTTCAGTCATCGTGGTACGTATTTATGCTTTCAGAACCAACTCGCCCATGTAATAAAGTGGTTACGACACAACAATTGCATGGCCATCCATTGCCTCTTTCTGGGGGCGTGCATTGCCCCGCTCTCGTGTAGCGTACAACGAAGCAGTATCTGTACTGACCGGTCCTCCATGCTTTCCTTCGCTCAACGTGTGCCTACTCGTTCCCGCCACGCACGTCACCACTCCTGTGCTATGTGTACGGCACCCACCGCTGCCACCCTTCTGACGACGTCATCCCGCCGGCCGCTGTACGGCGCTGCAGGACATCATCAAGGACAATGTGAGAGGGGAAAAGAGGGGGCGGGGCTGCTACGTGTTTGCAATTGTGTACATCAGCTGGGCTCGGGAAGCCAGCGAATTTAAATTGCTAATTACCATTGCTCCAGTTGCTCTGTATGGGTAAGCTACTGACGCTGGCGCAATTGAATCCTCGACTGACTCAATCCGTGCTGAGTGCGGTTCCTAACCAATGGCCCGCCTGGCTGCCCCTTTCCCCAGACTGTGGGCCGCATCCCCTACTTGGGCTGCCTGCTAGACCCGCTCCTGGACTGCCTGGGGGTCTGGGACTACCTGAGTGAGTGGCGGGGCGGGTGGAGGGGGGCCGGATTGGCGCGTGGCAGTCGGGAAGGGGTTTAGGAACGAAAGGTGTGCGGACCCTAGTCCCGATTCCCCAGCAGCTCTGCTTGGCCCTTTTAAGCTGGTCTCAGGTCCAGAGTTCTTGACCAATCCTCTTGCCTCATCAGTCCCTCCTTACACCTGTCTAACCTCGCCCTTTACCCTTCCCTCCCCTCCGCGCAGACGCCAAAGTCGGCGACGCTCTGACGGCCCTAAACGCCGCGATCACGGGGTGAGCGGGCGAGGGAGGCCGGTGCTCCGGAAAATTGAAGCGATCGGGGTCCTGCGAAGAGGGCTGGAGTTGGCGGGCCATATTTGCACGATCTTGGTTGAGGGATGGTAGCCTGTCAATTGTACCAAGCCCACCCCTCGTCCAACCCCAGCCCTGTTTCCATGGTGTTTCAACAGTTACAACCGTCTTCCCTCCCCATTTCCTTCCCACCCTTACCTCCCTTCCTTCTCTTATCCCTTCGCGCATGCAGGCACCACAGGCGCAGCCTGCTGTCAGACGACCCCGTTTGGACGCCCCCCAGCTCCACCCTGCCGCCGCTGCAGCCTGCCCTCGTCATCCCGCTGGACGTCTCCCTCTCGCCGCCGCCCCCGATCGCAGTGGTGGTGCAGCCGAGCAACGCCTCCTCCGCCACCGACCGGCAGCGGCGGCTGCAGAGCTCCTCGGGCGGCTCGCTGTACGTGCCGCCAGAGGACCGACAGAGCCACATCATGGAGAGCCCCGCAGGTGGGCTGGGGGTGGGGCTGGGAAGCGGTGGGGCGGGGCGGTAAAAAGGAAACTGACGAGCGGGGCGGGCGGGGCTTTATAAGGGTGCTGCCATAAGGGCACGACGGGGCTCAGGCAAATGGTTGTGTTGCGGACTTGAACAAGTAATTGCTATCGGGTCGACACACTTGAGCCGCCTGGTGCTTAGCTATTTGGGTCGCACTGCTTTGCAGGTCAGGAGATCCTCCGCTGGGCGGCTGCCATCATCAACCTGCATGCGGCAGGCGCCGAGATGTGGGGCCTGGAGCACTACATGTAAGGGCGAGGTTCGAGCTGGGCATGGAAGGGAGTGGTTTAAGCAAAGCTGCAGAGCCTTGCGCTCTGGGCCGCATTCGTCCGTTGGGAACACGTTGCACAGTGAAGCCGCCTGTCATCTGTAGCCCTGCCACTCCTGGTAACTGCATATCCTCCCCACCCTGCTGCTGTAGGGAGTGGATGAACCCGCAGTTCCCCGCCGACGTGGAGGCCCAGTGGCGCACCGCCTGGGAGGCCGCCACCTCGGACACCTCCCCCTCCGGGGTGCTGGTGGACTGGGGTGCGGAGGCCCCGCAGCTGCTCAGCGAGCACTTCACCCCGCTGGTCAACGTGACCGCCCGGCAGGCGCTCATCGAGCGCTGGAACGCCACCTTCGCGCAGCAGCCAGGCAGCTCGGCGCCCACCATCAACCTGGAGCGGGTGGACCGAGCGCAGCAGAGCTACCTGGCCGACACCCTGGCGGCGCTGGAGCAGGGATACGCCAGTGAGTGGGGGCGAGGGAGCAGGAAGGGCCCATGCGGTTCTTGGTCTTCATGAATTTACTTCACGTTCCTAAGTCATCTTTCATGTCGACCGGCCACAACACATGCGACGAAGATGCATCAGTTTCATGCTGACTTGACAGCACTATGACCTCACGCGCTTAACTCGCCCTTCCCTCTGGTCTCACACCGTCCCTCAGGTGTGTTTGATGCACTCGACCAGAGCATCAGCACCCTCATCGCGCCCTACGTGGCCGGTACCGCGGGCGGTGGCGCCACGTGCGCACGTGTGGTGGTGCAGCTGAGTCAGCAGCTGGTGCTGACGCGGCAGGCGTTCGAGGCCTCCCTGGAGCTGGACAACAGCGGCGGCGCCAGCAGCCTGAGCAACGTGACGGTGCAGCTGACGGCCTGGGTGAAGGACACTGGGGAGGCGGCCGGGAACGCGTTTGCGGTGGGGCTGCCGACTGTTGAGGTGAGGGAGCGGATGGAATAGGTTACGGCCGTTACGTTCAAAGCAGTGGTATCGGTGGCCAAACCGGGCATGTACAGTTGCTGGATAACTAGTTGACCCTGCAATGACTACGCCCCTGAAACGCTCCTTCCCTCATTTCCTTCTAATCCCTCCTCCTCTCAGGGCATGACCACCGACGAGAGCGGCCTGGTGCTCCCCGCTGGCGGTGTGAGCAGCATGCGGTGGCTGCTGGTGCCGCGGGAGGCCGCAGCGCTGCAGGCGGACACATGGTACTACGTCGGAGGCCAGGTCACGTGAGTGGGGGTGGGGTGCGCGGGGTCAGGACGTTCGATGCTTACATGCACTGCTTTTCGTGCTGCGCTCAATCCACCGCTGTGTTTAGTCCCCATGGGTACCGTACATCAACAGTACATTCCTCTGAATCTGCGCGCAGCTACATCCCCGGTCCCGGTCTGCCCGCCGAGGTGCTGCCGCTGGAGCCTGCTGACGTGCGTGTGTCGCCCGAGGGCCGGCTGGAGGTGCGCTACTACATCGAGAAGGACGTGCAGGTGAGGCGGCATGGTGGCTCGTTGGGGTGGGGGACAGGCGGATTGCGGTGCGGTGGGGCGGCATTTCGGAAAGGGTGGACAGGCGGGAGCTGGGTTGCGGGGGGATGCAGGGAACGGCGCAGGTGCAGTCCAAGCACCGACCATGGATGTTTTGTGCCGCGTCACAAACATCTGGCAACCGCACCCCCGCCCAAGGGTCTCAGCCCGAGGAACTCTCAGCCCAAGGCGCTTGTTCCATAACCTCCTTTACTCATCCCCCTCCCACGTCTTCCCTCCTGCAGGGCGACAACCCCTTCACCCCCGCCGTGGAGCCCAGTGTGCCCGCCGCACTGGTCACCCTGCTGCACAACGTGGGCAGCGGGGTGGCGCGGGGGGTGGCCATGCAGTCGCTGCAGCCCAAGATTGTGGAGAACGACAAGGGCCTCATGATCAGCTTCAACATCGTCAACGTCACCGTTAACGGCCTGCCGGCGCCAGCGTAAGTGCGGGAGATATTGGGAGAAAAGGGTCTCGTATAACATGACTCAGTTACGCCTGATGTAAGTAACTACCCTGAAGGCATTCGAACCGAAGTGCCTCTGCATGACTCTCCCGTTCCCCTCCCTGCCGCCATGCAGTGCTCTCCAGGCGTCAGTGGGCGACATGCAGCCGGGCAGCACGTCCATGGTGCAGTGGTGGATCACCGCATCGCTGCAGGTGAGAGGCGGGAGGGGTATAGCGGCAAAACCCGCCCGAACAGGAAAGCAAATTGGACAATGGCATTTAACGTAAAGGCGAGCGGTGGCCCCACAAGTCTTATTGAAAGGTCTTGATGGCCAGACAGCAGGAGAATGTGCCTTCGTGGGCATCCAAGTCTTCGCTATATGCCTCTGTGAACAAGCCTTCACCTGGCTTCACAACAAGCCGAGCGAACGTCCCAAGCTCTGTCCTTGCAATTGCACTGCTGGCCGTTGCGTCTGGTTGGGGTGGCCTACATGCCGTATCCTCA